TGCATGCCGGTCAAGTTGTACTGGGCGGGGGGGGCTGCGAACCTTTCAAGGGAGCACCGTAGATCAGTTTCAGAAGATGGCAACAAAATTAGGTCGTCTGCAAACAGCTACCTTCTCGTCTCGGTTTTGTACGGAAAACCACAAAGGAAAGTGATCCGATCAGCTTTTCAACCAATAAAACATCTCTGATGGACAACTACTACTAACTAGACTAACGTTAACAAAGCGGCATTGACGCCGACCTTAAAAACAAGCTTTGTGTTTACGCGAACAGCACGCGAAAAGCGTCTCTGAATATTCTGAAAATTTCTATGATTTACAGGATCTGCATCTGCAACGAAGTGAGCAAACAACAGCAGGAAAATCCGCTCATGGCTTTCACACGCATGCCGGTCACGTCGTACTCGGTTGCGAACCTTTCTAAGGAGCACTGAAGATCAGTTTCAGAAGATACTAATAAAACAAGGTCGTCTGTAAACAACAACCTTCTCGACGTAACATCTCCTACACCGATACCCTCGTCGCCTTGCCAGCTCCTGACTATTCTATCCATGTACAACGCAAACAGGATAGGGGACAGGACGCAGCCTTGGCGGAGACCAGTGCGAACGCTGAATGGCTTCGACTTAACGCCATTAACTCTGAATTCTCAGCACCTGATATCAGAATATGGTGATTGGATGACCCTAAGCAGCTAGCCAACTGTCCCATATACTCGAAGGCATGGCCACAGACTATTCCGTGGGATCCGGTCATAAGCTTTTTCTAGGTCAACAAAACATATACACCGAACGGTCGTACACCCAGAATTTTTAAAGAATCTGGCGCAGGGCAAATATATGGTCAGTTGCTTCGACTGGGCCGGATGCCACACTGCTCTTCTCGTATCTTGGAGTCAATTACTCCGCGGCACCTCTTTCTAGCACCTGTGCGTAGACTTTTCCCGAGAGGCTCAAAAAGGCAATATCATGAAAATTGGAGTCTTCCTTCTTGAACAGGGATACTACAAGCCCCGATGTCCATTCCTGTGCTCTTTCGCGTAGTCAGTGCAGTTTGACGGACATAAGCTAGCCACAACAAGACTTGTCCGCCTAAAGTTGTAAGCATGTCGGGAGTACGTTTCATCGATTTCAGCAGCTTTGCTGCTTTTCCAAGCTTTTCATAACTTTTACTGAAACAAACATCCATTTACTGATGCCTTCAGACGAGTCTCCCGACCTTGCTGAGGACTAAAGAATTTCTAGAATACTCACCCAACGCAGAAGTATATGCTTTTCCTTGAGAAGATGGCGTCGCATGTCTTTCACGACGGTCAGTTTGTCGTTCCTTCCATTTCAGAGACAACGGATGATCTGAATACTTTTTTGCAGTCTACAGATTCGCTTATAGCACCTCAACAAAGTTCGCACGAGTTAGCTTTCGCCTTAGCCACTGCTTTAGCTGCCGCCTTGTACGCTTCTTCACACCGCTTACGAAACGAAGGTTCTTTGCCTCCAAGGTACCGCTTGTCTTAAATGCGGCGTTTAAAACGTCGAAGTAAGGTTAAAGATAAGCTGCATGAAAAGCAAACATTTGTAAGAACTTAATGAAGAACTTTGTGCAGCGTAAACCCAAGAATTTGAGTCATGTCATTAAAACATTAAATTTATAACATTCAATCCTTTATACCTCTAAACGAAAATACGTTCTGAAAATATCCAACCATCAGTTATTTGTTATACTTAAAAAAGTAACTGAAAATCTAAGCACGTCTCTTTCAACGATGACAAATTCTATGAGCATTGTTATCATAAAGAGTGCAAATTGTTTTTCAATGCCATGGTATTTTACATGGTGATATGTAAGAACGGTCATGATATGAAGATAAGATTTTAAAAGATACCGCAACAATGTTGCAACTATAAATATATACTTTATAACAACTTTAGTAGCAAACGACTACACTGCTGACATCTAATTCTAGCTCAAATGCATTCCATCGTATTTTATTCGGTTTTGAAATAGATGCTTTCGAGGCCTCAAACTCACCTATCTTTTCGCTTTGCCGAGTGATTATGACTCTGGGACAATACGACCGTTCAGGGTAACGTCACTGCTAGTTGCATCACCAATGTTAATTATGGAAAAAATGAGTGGAATCCTTTTGGAAACTCACGCTTCAACCGAATCCTCAGAACACCGGTGGATGAATGATGAATGGTGTCTGGCCTTAGCGATGTTCTACTGCGAAGATGCTCGGTCAGCTGGTCGTCGTGCAGGAACCAAACTCGCCACAGCAGTTCAGCTCTAAGTATCCTTCATAAAATTTTATACAAAGCTGTATCATTTTCCATGCTTAAAAACAGATTCATCTGTGACTCCATTCAAGCAGGCAAATATTCATTCATAATCAATATTTTGAGATCAATCATAAGCATCATTCTACCGTGTCTTTCGTACGCATTCTCTTATCCAGCCAGTGGAGCAGAATTGCATCCGGTGTAGAGGTGTTAAGATATCATTGAGCCACGGTCTGTATAAACATCCGCCGTTCCGCCTGGAGAAGGGTGGTGATGCAATGGCTCCGTAAATACGGTCTAATGGTGCCCGTGACCACCAGAACAACTATTACGGGCTATTTCGGAGCACAAGGCTTGATCGACAAATTTCATTACTCCGTCATCTACTACTGGAAAGGTCCTGCCGACCACTGCGAGGCAAAAATTGAGTGCAAACGCAAATGGTCGACGGCGACGACATTTGCAAACAGGCGAAATACGTTAATGAAGTATCTGGAGAACTATGCAAAACGATAGTTGGGTTAGGCTGAGGAAGCGCGGGCGGCTTTATATGAACACCTAGATCGGCAAATGCGACGAAGCAATCTGCATTACGATTACAGAAGCTCATGTTGTGAACTCGCTCATCGCACAGACCACCCAAGTCCGCCCATGCTGAGGTCCTTGTGTTAGGACGATCGCAAAGAGAGGTGGGCACAGAGTTTAAAATTCAGTCTCATACATATCCTCAATGTAATCAACTGCGAATCCGAGATCGGTAATCACTTTCTATGCAAATCCGTTGCCAGACAATTTCGGACCTTGGAAAGACGCCATGGCCACTGTAAATATGGCATTAGAGACCGCCAGTTACCGGACAAATTCTTGCCTAAGTTTTATTTCCGCCGATTTCCTCGTTTAGTACGTTTATAAATGAAACTAGAAAACAGTCGAATATGCGATGACCCAAACAACTATTGTCAGAAAGACAAGAATTATTCGTGTTTCATCTGTTGTCAGGAGCACAATAACATGACAAAGCAGACAGATACTGTGGAGATATTATACCGGGACATGAAACGAATTAGTAAAACTATTAAAATGATGCGAGATGCACTACTGCTGCTACGACAGTCAACTAAAGCAACATCACAGAAATGGGGCCAAATTTAAACCGTCAGTAATGCACTAAAAAGCAAGGGGCGGAACAGCAACGCCGCATAAGGCGGTCTGGAGGAAGTGAGATTATCATTGTGTAATTATGCATAAGTAGAAACAGAGAAATTCACGAAAATAAAATTGTTGTTCAGTGACATTGAAACATCGTGCTTAAACCTTAAAAGAAACGACCAATCCACAATAAATTAAAAAGAAATCACTCGACGAATGCGCGGTTCAAATGCTACAGGTAGACGGCGTGCCATGTTACAGAAAGATGCCCATCAAATTAAACGAGACGCATAGGACGACAGGAAGCACTGGCTCAAAAGTCGAAAGGCATGACTTATTTAAATCAGCCTCAAGGCAACTAGGATCGATGCATTAGTAGCATTGCAACACTCCGTGACACACTGACTTCGAAAAGCTTTGCGCCAGTTGAAATACGACAGGATCATATTTTGCTGTTTTGCGGCGTCATATAAGCACCATCAGCTTCGGAAACACCGCCGTAATAATATAACTGTACAAAGTAACAACATAATACAAAGCACATCCAGCTATGCCAAATGTTGAAACACCCTGCA